CAGTTGGAGGCTTTGGTTTGACGAAGCCTTCTTCAAGTGGGTTAGCATGATGAGGATGATGATGGTGTTGAGTTAGATTACTCATGGGTGTTAATGGAGTGAGTGTAGTTAGTTTACTTTCAGCTAAATTGTTGTTTACCAGTGTAGTTGAATCGGGGTTTTCTTCACTGCCGCGGCTTTTAACTTCTCCACGCACATCATGTACTTGCGTTAGCTGCTGACTACCTGCTGTTGGTAGATTATTATAGGGTGTACCATAGCCACCATTGGCATCATGATGCGGTGTTAAAGGTGCAGGAGTATGGTGTGTATGATGACCAGTTGGTGTTGTAGGTGTCATTGGAGCAGCAGGAGCTGCATTTGGTACACCAGTTGGTGTCATACCTACAACATGAGGAGTATGAGGTGGAGGCCAGTTTCCGTAATAGTTACGTGAGTCTATATAGGAACCAGTTTGATAGTCGTACGAATAAGGAGAATCAAGTACCGTACTAGAAATTTGATTCGATTGTAGTTGTGCATCTGTGAATGTATCAATCATAGTCGCCATATTCATAAGACTGGAATTGGATGACATAAGCTGATTTGGATTGCCTCCTTGTGCACTACCCGCAGATGAATTCGAGTGGTTATTATTTACTGGTGGTGTTGTAAATGCACTTCCAGCCGGACTAGGATTATTCGTTACTGGTGTCTGACAACGAGGTGAGGGAGTTGTAGGTGGCACCGCTGATGATGGTGTTGTTGCTCCTGTTGGAGTTGTAGCATTAGATTTACTTTTAGACTTCGATTTGCTGCTTCCAGATTCCTTTTTAACTACTGCTGGTGGAGTATTTGATACAGCAGTTGCTTGTGGAGTACTAACTGGTGTTGTAGCAGCACCTGTGTCATTTTCTGTGGTAGCAGGCTCATCCTCTTTACGTTTCTTACCATGTCGTCGACATGGTATTAGTGGTGTTGAACGCACACGTACTTCACATGGATATCTAAAAAAAATCGCAAACATATTTTAAGGTTTAAAATTTATACAATATGGAAACTTCAAAAGTTTCCAATTAAAACTCAACACTACACTCACTTCTCCAGCACTTGTACAGCTCCGATACGATGTTTTTCTCGTTGCCCTTCTACGCTTTCAAATTCATCAGTCGAGTCTATCGTGTATAATGGCAATACATGAAATTGTTCATCATCTGGTGGTCTACTATCACGATTACAGGGCTTAAGTAGAGCCACATGAACGGTACATCCATCTTGCATATTGTGCAGATCTCTATGAGCATGCGCACAAAAATCTAAACAGGCTGTAACACCTGAAAACGGTCGGCCAGGTTCTAAACCAAGTCGACAGTCTGGTGCTTCCTTTTCGTATTTTGTTTGATTGTCATAGGAACGTGGACATACTTGCTTGAAAAGAGGTGCCAATACTGTGGCTAGTAAGTTCATATGATCTTCAATTGCAGATTCCTCACTTTTAACAGAGAGGCGGAACTTGCGTACCGTTTTAGAACGTGCGTATTTGCAACCATTATAATACATGGACCAAGAACAACCAAAGCTATAGGAGGCACCAGATGTTTCGGGATCAAGACCTGAAAATTATACGTTTTGATTGTGAGTTAGCGCAATAGGAAGAAAAAAAAAATAAAATACCTTGACAAGCACAGGTGCGGTTTTCATTCGTGGCGCACCGCCTTGTTGTTGGAAGTCCAAATTTGTTTAATTTCGGTATTAAGTTTTTGTAGGCATTATCAGCTTCCATTCTCGGCATGCCATCCCAAGCAACCATACAAACAACAATAAATGCTGCCAAGCACCTGAATTGAAAAAACTTATAATGGACACGTTTAACAAAATAAAAACTTAACTTACCTATGGCCAGGACGTTTCTTAACAACAACCAATATTTTCTCTTCAGGATCTGCACGCCTAATAACCCATTTGGCCACCGGACAACCTTGATTTGTTTTACCTTCTTTGCCAGTATAAACAATTTTTTCAATACGCAGTTGCCGACCAGATATTTGACATCGATCCTCAAGTTCTTTGCGTAGTTCCGCAAGTGTTGAGGCAGTTCCTATGAAAAAATCGTTTTACTACTTCATTAAAAAATTAAAAAGCATGACTTACCTAGATGCGTATAGTATGTGCCAGGTTCTGGTGGATTTTTATCTGATTGAAAACAATCACATTCTGGAATCTCGGTCTTATTACCTTTCTCTAACCTATCAGTTGTATCGAAAATTGGATTTATTTTTTCATGTTTGACTACAATTTCATTATTTTCTTCTTGCTTTACTCCCTTTTTCTTGGGTTTAGCACCATTGGCATTAGCATTTTGTTCGTCTTCTTCATCAATTATTTCATCTTTTGTTTGAATGCCAGTACAAGACCCATCTTTTAGATGTTCAGTAGTTGGTGCTAGCGTTCCACCTTGTCGACAACATGAAAAACCAGAACTATCTTTGATAGCTGCAGGACCGCCTTCACCTAGGAAGGGATATGTACCACTTTGATTAAGCATTCCCATGTCTTCAATTTTTGGTTCAATTAAGCCAGAAGCAAGATGTGATGGCATATGACCCAGTGGATACCTATGTGGAGGTATTGGATAAGCATGAGCTGGTATATCTTTTTCATAATTGGTAGGAAGTGGTATGATGCTGTTAGTGTCAGGCTTTCGATCTATATCCATCATATGATTATTTAATTGTGATAAACCAGTCGCACTGGGTGATTTCGGGTGCCCACCGTTAGTGGACTTTGTAAGCGTACTGGAGTGTTGGGATTGTATATTTGGTGTGGAGTATGCTCCAGCTGAATTAGAGTGCTGGTATCCAGGAACAAAGTTTTGCTGATAGTTTTGTTGGAAACTGGTCGACCCACTATAATATGCTGCATTGTGATGATAGCCTGCATACTCTGACTGGTTTTGATGTTGTTGCTGAATATGCTGAGTTGGTCCACCAGACTGACCTTGAACTTCGTTTTGACAAAAATCTGCATATTGTATGAAATTCTGATAGTTGCGTTCATACCCTTCCATCTTATTTGGTTGTGGTGGCACGAGTCCTGGTTCAGTTTTTATATACTGTGCTTGGTAGTCTGGATGTGGTGGATACTGTGATGAGGGATAGTTCATCTTATCCATGTTTTTCGTATTAGCGACATGTGCTGAATGCAATCCACCGCCTGGGTCATTACTGTTTTTCTCTATATCCGTTTGTTCAGTATTAGTATTACGGCTGCTTTTACTTCTACGACTTGGTTTTTTGGTTGGTGTCTCTGTATGAGTATTATTATTCGAATTATTGGTTGCTGTATGTTGCTGTGATTGAAGAGTCTGTTGATGATGTTGATCCGAATTTTGAAAACCAGTTGCCACGGGCTTCTTAAAGGAATTCACGTGGTGTGGCTTCCAAATTTGGTCGCCACCACCTCCGATTGGTTCTGGTGCTAGTGTTGCGGTTGGCGCCATTCCCACAGTATTCGATGCTTGCATATTCTGTATTTGCTGATGTTGTTGCTGTTGATTCTGTTGATGTGGATGTGTTGGTGCACGAGTTTGTTGAGCTACACTAGTACCATTCGAACCATTCGAGTTCATTACTGAATCGTTTCGGAGATGGTGGCTATACGATAAAAAATGACCGGTCTGTTGCTGTTGCTGCTGCTGTGCACCGTTACCATTCGCACTCAGAGGTGGAGGAGGTACCTGCATAAGAATATCAGGTGGTGCTGCACCAGAAAGTGAATCTTTAGGATCATTTTTACGTAAAATCATAGATTTAATGCGCGTATTAAGATTAACACGCTCACCTTGTTGGTAGTCAGCGCCAGGAGTTTGCTGCTGCTGCTGCTGCTGCTGCTGGGTATTCCAATTCCAGTCTTGTTGCATCTGCTGTTGCTGTTGTTGTGGTGGTGAAGCGATATGATTCTGCGTCTGCTGTTGCTGCAATGGATTATGATGTGGTGATTGTGGTATATTGGAATTATACTGCGTTTGTTGTTGTTGTTGCTGAGCTTGTAAATTACCATTTGGTGATTGCGGTATATGATTGGGCGATTGAGAGACATGACGCGCCTGTTGTTGCTGCTGTTGCTGTTGATGTTGCTGCATGAGATTTCTTGTTGGAGATTGTGGCACACTTTGAGCATTTGGTGGTTGCATTGGTGAAGCTTGTGGTAGAGCCACCGAATTATTATTAGCATTTGCTGCTGACTGCCCGCCATTGACTGTTGCAAGTGAGTTAGCAACAGCATTTGGTGTAACAGCAGTTGAAGCTGTTGAGTTGTGATTTGATGTTTGATGTTGTTGTTGTTGTTGAGTACCGCTATAGTCGCCTGAATACCCGTTACAATTGAGTGAGCGCGGCGGTACGCTGCTCACCCGCGGATATCCAGGCGTGTCGTTTCCCGACATCGTCTTATTCAAGTCACTGCCAACGCCCAAATGTTGTTGTTGCTGTAAACCCACGGAAGGTGGTGCAGGAGCAGTTGACACTTGACCGGCATATGTAACAGCAGCCGGTGCAAAACCAACGCCCTGCAGACCTACTTGATTGATGGGTGCACTTGATAACTGTTGGCTCTGAAAGTCATAACGTTGTACGGGTGCGCCATATGGAGAACGGCCATAATTTGGATCAAATCCGAGGCCAGTCTGCACATATCCATTTGATGGGTAGGCATATGATTGTGTTTGAAAATCTAACGAGTTGAGCGATGTTATGGCAGGCGTATTCTGTGGTATTTGCTGTATGAATTGATTTTGCCAACCCTGCGATGGATCTGTTTGCCAAGTCGGATAGAAGGCCATTGGAGCCTGTAAAGGGAAAAATAATAATGTTTATTAAATAAATTAATCTATAAATTAAATTAAGTTAATGTTTGCTTTTTGTTTTTATAAATTTATGCAAATATCGAGTTAGGCAATTTAAATTTTATGTTTTGTGAAACTTTTTCAATTATGCGAAACAAGTTTAATTTATCTAAATTATAAATTTTATTTAATGTAAATTGTCTGGCGTTGCTTTTCGGGTTTATTGGATTGTAAACAAGTAGCGAAGCCGAAACCAAAACCAAAACACTCACCCAAACTGAAGAGCGGCACAAAATTTGCAATTTAAATAACTTTTGCGAATGTAAAACGAAATTTATGCGAGGAATTAATTTGAATTTTCAAAATACGATAAATACGATAAATACGAAAAGTACGAAAAATACGAAAAATACGATTTTCAAACGTTATCGAGAAAAATCTTAATTGGAAATAATTTTCGAAAGCAAAGCAAATTTTAAACCGAAATTAAATTCTTTTTTGAATAAATATTTCCAAAATAACAACCATCGTTGGGCACAGTTAACTCTCGTACATGCGAGTATCAGATATTCTCTAAAATACTTCTGCTGGCATATGAAGATACATAATCACACATATGTCAGATACATTTAGCAGTGTCTGCTGCGTTTGTGTGAAAGTTATGCATATGTTTGGAACATAAATTATAATTTTTTATGCTACTTACGAACATTAAAAAGCACATATTTATGGCACATATATATTAAATATTTATTTATAATTACGAATTTATGCATAAAAGTGTTCCTTTACCCCTCCCCGCACGGCACAATCTTTACAAGCGACACACTCGGGAAGATATAAATTTTTATAACAAATACCGAAAATTAAAACATGTGCACGTTTATCAAAAATTTTAAACCTGAGGAAGGGTGAGTTGGCGAGTCGAGTCGAGTCGAGTCGGGTTTTATTATAAATTTCGATTAGGTTTTTGTCTTTGTGCATTTGAGAGTACTTGTATTTGTTTCATTTAAACTTGAAACTTATGTACAAATCCGTAGATAGGTGTACTGGGGCATGGAAAACTTTAATGTGCTATGGGTGGGTGAACATGGGGGTTGATAAGAGGGATAGATATGCACGGCGCAAAATTACAATATATTGGAATTTGAATAATGTGCAAAATGTGTTCTTGGCAGGGGAATGAAGTATAAGTTTTAATAATATTAAAAATGTTTTCGTGTCTTTTAAAACGTTTCCGGCTAAAATGGATACGAAATCCAGAATATCAATATTTACTTTTCTCTATTTATTTCATATTTCAGAAAAATTTCAATAAATGAAATCATATATTTTTAATATAATAGCAAATTGTTGAATATTGATATCTAAAATTTACATATACATTGAACATGTTAACACTAACGTAACTGTCAACACTATAAATTGAAATATCCCAGTAGCAGAATACTCAAGGCCTTGTCAAAAAAAGGCCTTTTAAAAGCACTCCATCAGAAGGTGTAATGAAATTCACAGGCCTTTCGTTAAAGTACTTCAAAAAGGCCTTTACTAAAAAGGCGTCACTAAAGGAGTTGATGCGCATTGCGTACACGCAAGCGGTGTTCAAATCATATTTGCATGTTTTGTTTTTAAGTATATCTGTTTTTTTTTCGTTTTGGCTTACCTTTGCTTTATTTCGTTGTAGTCTAGACTACTGTCTCTTTGTTAAGTTAAATTATTGCAAGTTATGAAATTCTAACAAAATTAGTCCGTTCGTGAATTCGAAAATATGCTGATCGCGAGTGAAATAATTTATGAATAGTGCTTATTAAAAGTAATAAAAATATATAAACTAATTAAAAATAATTAAATAAATATTAAATAATAGTGCAAAACAGTGGAAAATTGTACGTAAAAATTGTAACAAAACAATTGTAAGTATACTTTTATACCTGTATGGAATTATATTTAAAGTTGTCATTAGTGCATATTTTTTTCAGTTAGTATTTTTGTTAAAATTAAACAACATATACATTGTCTAAAATTGCGTTATGTTACAGAAGCTGCAGATACTGAAGTCCTAAGTGAAGAAAATTATAGGACTGACATAAAAAAGGGTCTCAAGGTTGCAATAAACCGATATTATAGAGAGGCTTACACCAAAAAAAAAACAACAAAAGGGATTAACTAGATATAGTTATAAATAGTTTTACAGTATTATTAGTTTAATAATGTTAATTTAAGTTTAAATAAATTTTAGGTATAGTTATAGATAGTTTTATAGTGTTATTAGTTTAAAAAATGTATATATTATTTAATTTATAATAATGTTAATTTAAGTTTAAATAAATTTTAGGTATAGTTATATAGATATAATCATGTTATAATCATGTTAATAATTTTAATTTAAATAAATTTTATTATTATATAAAAGATATTGGAATTTTATTATATATAATTAATTACAAATACATGCATTTTTTAAAATCTTTTGGCGGCCTTTTCTACGCAGCGAGTGTGTAAGGCCTTCCTCAGAATTTGTGTTGCAGTGCTTTATAAAGGCCTTTTCCACGCAGCGAGTGTGTAAGGCCTTCCTCAGAATTTGTATTGCAGTGCTTTTTAAAGGCCTTTTCTACACAGCGAGTATGTAAGGCCTCCGATATTGGCTCATCCAGAACAAAAAAGAAATAGTAAAAAATACAAGTGTGTAGGTACTACTTACTGCAGAAAAAGGCCTTTAAAAAGGCCTTTTTACTCCTTATTTCTGCTACTGGGATTATATATTAATACGGATATGTACGAGTATTATTAATAACAGATAGCCCATGCATTGCCGAATTATAAGTCTAATATAATAGTTCTACAAGACAAAAGCATACATAAGAAAGTATGACATATATGACAGCTGTCACTTAAAGCACTACAACTTTGGTAGTCTTCTCAAGTAGTCAAAAAATATAGTCTACTATTATCAGCTTTAACGGAATCAACGAAAGGTTATATTATCTTTGTGTGTCCAGTAAATTTATGAACATTAATCTCATTAACGTTCATAGACATATGGACAAATCTCTTGAGGATGAATAAGAAGGCCCTTTAATAAATTTTTAATAGTAAGAAAAGATCGACAATAAATTAGTTGAGCTTACATGCCCAGTTAATTACGTAAAAATCGTCCTTGGAAACTTGATTAACTTAATATCAATAATAATGAAAAGAGTCTCTGTCTAGAAAAATTAGAAGAAAACGCTAAAACTTTGAGCTTTTTGTATATTATGCTGCTATTTTGGGGAATTTCACCCAAAATTAAACTCGAAATGATCGTGTTAGTAGTTTAATATTTTCATCATGTAAATTTTATATAAATATAAATACTGAGCAGACTTGTCATCGTTCATAAGATATTTATACGATGAAATATAAATATATGTGACATTTATATTTAAATCATTATAT